CATGGTTGCCCCACGTTTTATTCCGATTCTTGATCTTGTCGGTGCGCTGGGAAAGGGCCCGCTGCATGCTAACAAGTTAACACGATGAAAGAAACGCCACATACCCAAACCCCCAAAAGAACGCGAACTCATTACATGAAAATATTTTATTCATGGTTTTACTTGCTCGTCCGCGTGGGTGGATAGGTTACACTTGGGATACCTTCTGCTATGTCAGCTATACCCTTTACCAACCTCGCCTATCTATTCGTCACGTCGTGCTGGTTGGCAATACAAGATGTAGGCTTCGGAACTACTCGACGGATATGCCCGTCTTCCGCCAAGGGCATACAAAAACTCCCTCCGATCCCAAGTATGACTGTTAATATAAAAACAGCATCCGGATATACCATATTTCCGGTTCTGTTGGCACTTGATCGTCAAAAAAAGCCCGCATCCATCCATCCATTTACATCGGTGTTACGCTTCGGTTAAAGGGGATGACACTTAAAAGACAGAACTTCAAAAGGAATCATTTGTTTGTCTATCAAACTGACGCCCTTGAGGTCGAGATAAAAACACCCCTTCCCCTTCTACGTAGGTCTTCATAGTATCACAATATTCTTTCGTCTAGAAAGTAAGAGTTACATCAATTGTACGAAGAGCAGAGAAACTGCATAAAAACTAACAAATTATTCTAGTCACGAGTATATATATATATATATATATATATATATATATATATATATATATATATATATATATATATAAACAGTGCAACCTTGGTGCTCGAACGTCTCACATGTCGGTTTTCGAATAGTTTTCGAGAAGGAAATGCATCGGTTAGCAAACAAAATGCCGATCCGAGCACAACCGAGCCGAACAGGGTTAACCCGAATGGAATCATTTCTTAGTCGACCGCCATGTTGTGTTTTCTATTGGGCTTTTCTTTTCCAATTTTATTCTACTGTGCAATTTTTTCTCTTCATTAGTCCTCAGTCATGGCTCCGAAGAAAGCTATCAGTGATACTTTTAAAGGAAAAAGAAAAGTCAAGGGGAAAAAAAATTGATGATTATATTGTTTCTATGATGATGATATTGTAAAAAAAATTTAAATGAATTCTTTTGTAAAATAAAGGAAGGAGGAGTTTTAAAAAATTCTAAAGAAACGTTAAATTAAAATGTTTTTTACGCCATTAAAAATTAATGGCGTAAAAAACAAACAACGAATTTATTCATGACAATTCTTAACAGCCATCTTGTTCACAGTAGAGAGTAAGAAAGAAAAATAAGAAAGAAAAAGAAAGAATGTTGAAACAAAAATCTAAAGAAATATGATTTTGTGAACGTATTAATATTTGCATTATTTATCCTCATCTTTATTATTCTTGATGTTAATTATGGATTGATGAGGATATTTAAATTATTTATCTTAATCTTTGTTATTGTCATCATAACGTTTCAACCGTTGGGCTCTCTGGCCTTTCTCAGATACATTCACGGAATTTCGAACTGAACCATTTATTTAATCTACGTGGGTAGATTGTTCTCGTTCCACTGGTCATGTCCAGAGATATATCTTCTAGTTCTTATTTATTACTATTCAGGACATTAGTCTGGGTGTGAATAATGCAAACTCTTCGTCCTGAAATTTCAGAAGGAAACGGATGTATTAAACAAAAACTAAACTTTAAATAACAATAATTGGCTGAGGGAAATATGAAAGGAGAAAATACTTGATATAAGCAAAGAAATGAGAAAGAATGAGAGAGTGGCAAAAAAAAGAGGTAAAAGGAAAGAGATAGGGAAAAAGAAAGACAGGGAAAGAAGAGAGAGTGACCAAAAGTGTGAAGAAGAGAGAACGAAAGAAAGAGAAAATATAGAATTATATATATACGAAAAAGACAAAGAAAGGAAAAGAAAGAAAGAAAGAAAGGAAGAAGAATGGAAAGAGAGAGAGAAAGACATAGGAAAAAGAGACGGTAAGAGTGAGAGACAAAGAAAGTAAGAAAAAGAAAGAAAGAAAGAAAGAAAGAAAGAAAGAAAAATGGAGCGAGAGGCAGAGTAGGAGAAAGGGTAAAATGGTGGGAAATAAAAATAGAAAGCGAGAGAAACAAATAAAGAGAATATGGAGGAGTAAAGGAGAGAGAAAGAGAAAAGGAAATCGAGAGTGAAAAGGAAATAGAGAAAAAGAACGAGAGAGTGAGCAAAAGATAAAAAAAAAGATAATCAATATAGAGAGCTAAATAACGAAAGAAAAAAAAAGAAAGGTGAGAGAGATAGAACGAAAGAAATAGAAAGATATGTAGAGAAAACCAAAACAAAAAGAGAAAAAACGAAGGGGAAGAAAGAGAGTGGGAGAGGGGAAAAAAGAGAGGGAGGGTAAACGGGAGACAAAGAAAGAAAGAAAGAAAGAAAGAAAGAAAGAAAGAAAGAAAGAAAAAGGATGTGAGAAGCAAAGAAAGAGAAAGGGAGAAAAAGAAACAAGGATGGAAATAAAAATAAAAAGGGTGGATATAAACTAAATAACGAGATATTAGCGATTGTGTATATATATATATATATATATATATATATATATATATATATATATATATATATATATATATATATATATAAATAAAAATATAAAAGATATATATATATAATGTAAATATAAAAGATATATATATATATATATATATATATATATATATATATATATATATATTTCACCCCAAGCTAGGCGTGAGTGCCACTAACACGCAAGGCGTTACAGAGAGTGAAAGTAAGATTAAGCAACGGGGGTTAAGGAAGAGACGAAAAAATTAAATGCGAATCGAAATATACAACCTGGATTTTACTAAAAACAAAATAATTTCAATGCCTGAAGATGACTGAATGTACAGTCGAAAGTACTTGCGTATTAACGAAAGACCTTATACAGCTTATAATTATCAAAAACAAGGATCATAACATTCATCGAGTGATTTGTAGGTTAATGCAACTTTAAAATTTTGTTTGCGAAAGGATTTCGCCATTTTATATTCTTAACTTTACTAATCTACTTTTTGTATGAATGATTCACTGTAATATATATATATATATATATATATATATATATATATATATATATATATATAAAGAGAAGAGAGTGAGAGAAAGAAAACAGAAAACGTATACTGTGCTATGTAAGAAAATAGGCAGGGAAAGACTGTCGACTGAACGGAAAAGAGAATAAAGTACATAAATTTCGAACAACAAAGATATAGGTTTTTAAAAGTTGGTAAATAAACAGAAATTGCAAGTAGGATGTGTTGATAACAGAAGAATAAAAAATATTCTAGAAAAATATATGTTGAAAAATTCCTCTGTACCAATGACCGTGGAAAATTTCTTAAAGTTCTCGTCATATCAAAATCTCACGTTACTTGATGATTGTCATGGAAACCATGTATATGAAAGCTAAGAAAAATTCTCATATAATAAGCATCTATTGCGAATGAACAAAATACGATCATTGAAGTTAAAAGATTAAAATTCTCTCAGATATAAATATCTATATATATTAGGAGTCTTAAATGGACGAGCATACACACAAAGACAAATGTTGTTTGACAATTATAAGGAGTGAAAAGATTCCATAGATTTAAAATATTGTTTTGGCTTCTCAACAAAATTACTGTTAACTGATCAATATCGAGATATTTTCTCCACTTAGGAGAAGATATAAGAAATAAAGTGGGTAATAAGACGACGTGCAACGGAAGCTCAAATTGTAAAAATAGAAAATTGGAAAGAGAGAAAAGGGGAAATATTAATAACTTAATAATTAAAAACGGAAGAAATAAATTGAAAGGAAGGAAGATAGAAAGAAAACAGTTAGAGAAAAGAAGAATATGATTTTGAAACAACAATGAGACAAGACGAATGATAAATGGAAAAAAAAACTCATGAAGAATAAGATGGAAATGCTAAATGAAAAACCGGATTTAAAAGGATCAAAAGAAACGAAAAAAGAAATTGAAAACAAAAGAAAAAACGGAAGGGAAGAAAAAACCGAGTAAGGAAGGCAATAGCTGTTTATTTAGAATTGGTCAATTCGCCAGAAGTGTCTGGCATTTCAGCGCCTATCGATTAGTTACTGAATCAGTTCCACGAAGAGAGTAAATTTGACTTCTAACAAGAAGGAATGGAAAAATCAATGAACGTTGAAGAAGGAAAATTAAATATTAGACAAAACATGAAGGTTTGAAGATTTCGGGTAGAAATCGTTAAAAATGAAGGTTAAAACAAAAGAAACGGGAACTGAAAAGAAAAAAAAAGAGAGAGAGTGAATAAAAATAAAGGTAACTCAAAGTGAAATGGCAGAGGAATTGAAACTATAAGAGCTTATTTGATATCAGTCAATGCTTGCAAAGAAATTGGTTAATACTGGAACAAATGTAAAAGGGTAAATTAATAAGGATTTGTAAGAATTGCGCAAACAAAGAGAACATTTGACAAATGAGAGTGAAATTGATGGAAAGAGAAAATGATATACTGAAGTGGAAATATTCAGAGAAAATTACAAATAAACTGAGAAAGATTTTGTTTGATAGGAAACAGGTGAACAACAAATATTTTCACGATGTATAAAGTCATCATTGTTGATACTGTTATCTCTTTTATTTACCAAGCATTACAGATATATCTCTCCCTGGATTCAAATCTTAAACTCCCTATTTCCAAACTGTTTTATTAATTCAAGAAGGTTTAGAAACAATAGGTTGTATCTTACGCAAAATAATTTGGTTCAGAATTCTAGCAAAATAGACGAAATATAGTGAACAGTTATCTTTAATTTTCAAATATCTTGGTTAAGAAATGTATTTATTTTCTTTGTAAAATCTGCGGAATTTGATCCCATACATAAGAAAAATAAATTGATTGAACTTACAGTAAACAAAAAATTAGAGAAAATCATATTTTCTGTTTCTTAAAATCTGTTTTCCATATTATTTAACAAATCAAACATAATTATAATGTCGTTTTAAAGCACACACACATATAGACATAAGCATACATACATAGACAGAGAAATACAAACATATATCGACATATAACATCCCCCCCATATATATATAAATAAATAAATTCCCAAGAGGATAGAATACAGGTAGAATTCAATGTCCAGGAAAGAAGATCCAATTTATCATACCTACAAATTCCAATGTAATAAATTATAACCATGGAATATTTGTGTTTATATATATATATATATATATATATATATATATATATATATATATATATATATATATATATATATATATATTTTTCATTAAATATGTCAGACAAAAAAAGATTATATTAATTTCCATGTTTGGCATATTTAATGAAAGATTTTTAAAGAAAGGTTGCTGCCCAAATATATATATATATATATAATTTATTATTACTATAAAATTTATTTTTTAGTGGGTACACGTGTTTGAGTTTCTATCCCTTTTTTTAAATTATTAACCATTGAAATTAATAACAACCGACATAAATTGAGAAGTCCTACTAAAGAAAAATTCCTGCCTACGACAGGAATCGAACCTGTATCCCATCTCTTTTTTTTTTATCTCAGTGAGACCAGTTCTTAAGCCGAAGTGTGATGGATTCTACCGTCGCCCAGTTCGGTTCCTAGAACTTAACAGTCAATCTTACTATCCTACACATATGATTTGATTATCGTGGCGAAGGTTTATACAGAACCATCTACACTTTTCGGAACTAAATAGAATGAAATGATGCACATTTTGTGCCACAATATCCCCAAACAGGCACATACACACACACACACAATATATATATATATATATATATATATATATATATATATATATATATATATATATATATATATATATATATATATATATATATATGTATGTGTGTGTCACTGTGTGTGTGTGCGTGTGAAAGGCAAATATACTATTAAATAAAATATACAAAAAAGTTCTATTAAGTCATTCATTTAGTTTCTCTGGTATCGAATAAATCATATTAATCTCATGTGGAAACTTATCAAGCACCCTGTCAAAATTATATGTTAATTCGGTAGTCTTTTCGACTATTATTGGTAGTTAAAAAGGAAGCAAGATTGAAAGTCAACAAAGAACCAGAATGATGTTTGTATTGTCAGTTTCAAATTTAAAAAGCCACTGGCTTATATGCCTTACTGTTTTAAGTCGTTTTAAGACATGGAAACCTAGAATTGAAAAAGATCTTCTTGGTCTCTTTTATCATAAAGTTCCTAGAGGATTTGTAATCGTTTTATACAGTTAATGTGTATGAAACCTATTGTATTTTCGGCCAAAATCTTATAAAAATTAGATTATGTTTTCATTTACACATTTTCATAAAAACTTATATTGATTCCATATTATGCATGCAGAATTTCCTCATATATATAAATAATACATACATATATATATATATATATATATATATATATATATATATATATATATATATATATATATATATTCAAAGTATATTGTTAAATATAACAGACAACGAATGTCTATTATGTTTTTATCATGATCCGTTCTGAACTTCGTATAGTTATATTTATATATATGTTTGAATAATGATCTGCTGCCAATATATATATATATATATATATATATATATATATATATATATATATATATATATATATATATATATTGTGTATTGTAAATCCCACTTTTATACAAGTTTTGAAGACGATTAACAAAATACTGCGATTAAGCTTTTTTATTTAATTTTTCTTGAATTTGTATAAGTGTTTTTTTTCTGAACATAGCGTATGCAAATCTGCACAAATGTCTTATATATACGAGAGAAGCTTTCGACTATTCTATTAGCCATTGTCAATTAACACACACACACACACAAATATATATATATATATATATATATATATATATATATATATATATATATATATATATATATAAAAATGTGTCATTATTTTCCAAACGCGGTCAGAACGTTGTGGCCGTGTTCATCGTTGATATTACTGAGTATTTGTTTTTTTCGTTTTTCTCTTATTATTAATGCTTCAATTAGTTTAAGCCTTGTTTACGTATGGATGAGGTCGTATTTTCTACACATCTGTTGCTTAAGGTGTTTAGTAGGTTTCCTATGTGTGGTTAAATGGGGCCTAATTGAGCTATGGTCTGCAACATGTAGCGTGACTCTTGTTAAAAATCATGTAGTAGTATGTCCAATATAATTATTCAGGAATTTGGTTTGATCAGGAATATAGTTCCTTAAGGAGTATTTAAATTCATATATAATTGTAATTTGGATGATCAGAGAAGAATATATATATATATATATATATATATATATATATATATATATATATTGGGCATTGAAGGGTTTAGAAAGTATTTTCAGTATATTTCCCCTCTCCGTGTAAATACTGAGGGCTGCAAATTCTGAGTGCTCTTAAGTAGAAGCAGATGATTATTCCGAATTTTATCTTGTTCTTATTATAGGAATAGAAATTTATGAGATCATTTT